ATCTTGCAACACATTATCTAGACTGTCAATTTTCAAGATTTTGATATTTATATGTTTATAGATCAATTTGATTTGAACCATTTTTGGAGTTTAAAATTTATAGTCAGAGATGATAGATTTTCAAGCCATTACAAGAATTATTTATATCAAAATTACATGTTACAATAAAATTTGAATGTGGACCTAATCTTATGCAAACCACATCCAATTATAATATCTTGTAGTAAACTTTTTGTTTTTTGGTTTTTGGAAGTAGTCCGAAAAGATATTGAGATTTATAGTCTCATTGAGGGTATGACATTAAATGAAGTATATGGCGGATCAAAATTCATGTAGCCGACTTCAATTAATTGAAAAAAACTATGATGATGATGAGCCAAACTTTTTTTTTTCCATTTGTTAGTACAATCGGGCCTCTCTCTCCCTCCCGCAAGAGGTGGGGGACTAGCATTAGACTCTGCACGTGCAGGAACAAGAAAAAACACACCACATCCCTACGAGATGCGAAGGATTGTGGTCTTCCTACCTTTTCAAGGACAATAATGTCTAATTTGGAGAGAGAAGTCAATTTAACAAGGAAAAAAAAAAAGTGCTAAAAGAGCCAATAGTAAAGAGCATTTTTTAGTAGGAAAATCTTTCAAATGATCATCTCAACATCAAAATATATAGATATAAAGAAGATAAATAATTTTAAGTCTTAAAAACGATGTATCTTGTAACAAGTTATATGGATTGTATATTTTCAAGATTTTAAGCATTTATAGATTTCTGTACTATTTTTTGGAATTTAAAATTTCATAACTAGGTTTGAATATGGATTTTCAAGTTGTTGTGAGGTTTCTGGTACCAAAACTACATCTTTCGGTAAAATTTAGAGGTGCGTTACTTGTATAGTATAAGGTGAACACCTTATACAAATCTCATCATTTTTAAAGCTTGAAATCTATTACTCTTTATTTATATCTATGATTATGAGATCGAAAAGGCAAGTCTCCTTTTCAAGTTTTGCTTTGCATTTTTTAGGAATACATGAATTTAAAGTTATGGCCCTAAAAGAATGGCACTTGCCCCTTAAGTCATGTCCTTTTTATAGATTTGGCCAAATATGTATCATTTTTGAAGCACGAGATTTTATATTCACATACAAAAATAGATTTTCATGCTATCAATGGATGACATACTAAGTTGGGTGAAAGATGCACTGGTACACAATGGATCACATACTAAGTTGGGTGAAAGATGTAAATCGGTTGGGTTAGGTCATGATATAAATAAAAAACACTATATATCATAGTTTTCGTCATCGAGTTTTATTTCAATTATTTGAGGTTAGCTACACGCTATTCTACTATTTCACTCAATGGTCAATACCTCAGTCTGATCAAGCGCATCGCTTATGTGGAACGCCTTAGCATGATCATACAACATTGATTCAAGATTCATTAAAAAATGTTGTAAAATTTTACGGTGGTTACCTACCTAACACAACCCTGCTCCTTTTTCTTGATTTGGGATTAGAATGACCTACTTGGGCCCCACCCGACCCTATGGGTTTAGGTTGTACCCGAACTTAGATCCAACCCCAACCCCAAACCTGCCCAGTTTCAAGTCAATTGGATCTTGATCAACTCGTTCAGTTTAATATCTCAACCCAGGCCTAAACCTAATGGTTAACCTGACTTGAATTCCACCCCTAGTTAGTTCATTAAAAATGTGGTATAATTTTACATTAGTTGTCTATCTAACACAATCTTGCTCATTTTTCTTGGCTTGAGACTAGCATGACCTACTTGGGGATGACCCGACCGAATGGATTTAGGGTGTAACCGGACTTGGACCCAACCCCAACCCCACCCACTTCCAAGTCAATTAGACCTTGACCCAACTTTTTCAGTCTAATATCTCGACCCAAACCCAGACTTAGACCTAACCGTTGACCTGACTTGGATGCCACCCCTGGGTTGGTTTAGTTTTAGTTTTTAAGTGCTTAGAAATTCCCAAGAGTGGGCTTTGGCTAACATACCGCGTTTTGGTAGTCCACACCTCACAAGTTGGACCACACTTTTTATATGCATGCCTTTAGGACTACGGCAATGAGCACCATCCAAGAAAACGTATAGAAAGAGAGAGAGTGTGTGTGAGCACCATCTAAGAAAATGAAGAGAGAAAGTGTGTGTGTGAACACCATCTTGGAAAATGTAGAGAGAGAGTGTTTGAGCACCATCTAAGAAAATGTAGAGAGAGAGAGAGAAGGAAAATGTAGAGAGAGTGTGTTTGAGAACCATCTAAGAAAATGTAGAGAGAGAGAGAGCATTCTATTCCATGCATGGTGAATGGCTAAAAGTCAGCAAAGTAAAAGATGAGATTTGAGATAGAATTTATGCTTAATGAATGATACAAACTGGTGCATGAAAAACTTGGGGGAAGATTAAAATGACAAAAAGTAAAAGATGAGAGAGAGAATCAGAATGCATTTGTTTTTGTGGGGTAAAATGTAAAGAAAAGAGTTTATATAAAGCGTCAACTTTATACTATTGAAGTAAGGTGCACCTCAAAAGTCCTCTAAAAAAGAGTGTTCCAGAGCTAGAAACACATTCCCATTTTGTTCATATTGATTTCAAGACGTATGGATAAAAAAAAAAAAAAAGAATTTCAAATCTTAAAAGTAGTACATCAGGTAATCTATTTTTAATTGTTTATAAACCTGTTTAATCTGTACTTTTTTAAAAATTTAAAATTTTACAATTAAAAAAAAAATAGATTTTTAAGCCATCATAAGTTTTCTAACACTAGAACTACATATTCGGACAAAATTTAGAGGTACACCTTATTTCTACAGTATGAAGAAGGCATTGGATACAAACCTCACCCAAATGAAAGTCAATTGATTGATTCTGGTAAGCATCCCAAAGTGTAGAAATGTAAGTTGGATCCCTATTTTTTCCCCCTTTTTTTACTCCTTGATGTAACTTAGGCCTCTTAGTATTTTCTTTTTTAATGTAACTTAGACCACTAATTTTAGAATGGCATTTACTTTTAACCAGTGGCCATGGCTCTCTTGGGACTTGACTCCTTAATAATGCATATTTGCTTTTAAATAAGGGTGAGGTTTGTACAGGGTGTCAACCTTATACTATTCAGGAAGGTGCACTACAAAACTAAGCCAAAAATGCAGTTTTGGCGTTGTAAAGTATTGCGACCATATGCAAATCTATTGCTGCACCCAATTATGAAATTTAAAGTTTCATAAATAGTGAAGATCAAGCACATCTATAAACGTTTGAAAAATCTTGAAAATGGACGGTCCAAATAATGTGGTAAAAGATAAATTATTTTTGGGACACTAAAAAATCCATTTTTTCATATCTATGTATCTCGAAGTCGAGATTATGGATTTGAAAGTTTTCTAGCATAAGAACAACCTTTCTAGGGAGTTTTTTAAGTAGACCCTTTATATAAACTTTGTCCTTTAAAGAATCCCCAAATGTATTAAAGCCATTGTCAAAATTTTCCTACGGAGAGAGAGGGGCTAAAGATGAATGAAAAATTGAGGGAAGGGATAGGGGCATCAGTAGTTGGGGTAGATGCCTCAACATAATATCCCACCCTTCATTCTCATTAAAAAAAAAAAAAAATGAAGAAGAATGAAAAAAAGAAAAAGCAATAAAAGACGTGCCGAAAATGCCATAAAAATAAGACACGAAAAGCAAGAGAAACAGGCTTATTGCTTGTTCGGGTAAGATCTACTATAAATTTTCTCCCTCTAGTACAAAAAGCTATCAAGAACATGATTTCAATCTTGAATTTTGAGATCTACTTCAAAATCATCATATATTTAATTCGAGAAAGAAATAGTTTTAACCAAGTAAATTGCCCCAAAGTTGATACCTTTGTTCAATCTACAATCGCACAAAGTGTTTGAATTTATTTATTTTAATTTTCTTTTCGAGGTTGATCAATAAGTAGAGGTGGTTATGTCTCAAAACAAAAATGGGGGCTGGCAATGGCAGGCTTGGACCTGGCCAGCTTTGGTACGAGCTCAGCTCGGGTTCCAATAGAGCCAACTTAGTCATCCTGGGTGAACAGTGGGTATGCACCCACGAGACCACTAAATATTTTGTCAAAAGGGAGAAGAATTGAAGACCAAATAAGAGAAAGTCAGGCAAAAAAGTTCGAAGGGAATGTACAAACTTTTTATAGGGGCCGTAAATGTAAATTGATATCTTTAAGATTGGGAAATGAGAGAGAAATAAGAAACTTTCTGGTAATTTTAGTAGGTGCATTTTTAGTTATATTTGTTACCTAAAAAAGGTGAGGATTCTAAACTTTTCAAACCCGGATAAAAGAGAAGAGGTGGATTGCATTAAATAGTAAAATTTTGTCGAAACTTTTTATAATAATTTCTATGCACATTTGGTGTAGAGAGAGAAAGAAATTTTTGTACATATTTGGTTTAGAGAGAGAGAGAGAGAGAGAGAGGAGGAGAGAGGCATTATCTACATGAACAAGTTGCATTTTGTATACCCTTTGCTTTGGGGAGAGGTACAGAGGCATTCTCTAAGTAAACAAGGTGCATCTCTACACGTTTGCTTTAGAGAGAGAGAGAGGCATTTACTACATGAACGTACTAAATAACAAAAAATTAATTTTCTCATGGCCTAAAACCTTTAAAAAATGGAAATTTAGAGAGGAGAATCGGAATTGAGCCACATGGGTTGAAGAGAGAGATAGAGAGAGGAATGAGCCATGAGAGAGAAAGAGAGAGATAGAGAGAGGAGTGAGCCATGAGAGAGAAAGAGAGAGAGAGGGTGGAAAAGTAGAGGAAGTACAGGGCCCACACGGCCAGCACAAGGGACAAAAGCTTCTTGCAAATGGGTATCTGCTTACTGAGCCGGCTGGCTGATCCCCTCAAGCAAAATCCACATCTCTCCATCACTAATCACTATTAATACTCTCTCTTTCTCTCTCTAGAATTTAGCTAAACAATTGTTTGTTTTTTCACTCAAAATCAAAATCTAATGACAATCAAATGAGCTTTTTACAGATCTTAGGACTCTGCAAAGTTTTGTTGCTTCTGGGCCCATTAGATTCCCCTCGTGAGGAACTCAGGCATGAGTTTCTTCCCACCACCCACTCCCTCTCTTCTCTCCCTTTAAAACCATCCCCTCCCATTCAATTTCTCACTGTCTCTCATGCATCTAACCCCTCTCTCTCTCTCTAGAAACCATCTCTCCCTTTAACTCTCTTTCTCTCTCTAGAAACATGGCCGCATCAGCTTCTTTCATGGCGACTGCAAACCCATTGCAATCTGCGAACCCACTAAATTGTTTCTCTCCATTACAGAGGCCCCCACAATACAGAGGGAACTCGTCTTCCAAAAGACAGGCATGTGATTCCACTTACTGCTGCTACTTTTCTCATTTGGGTTTTCTGGGTTTTGATGACTGCTTCTTTTCTCATTTGGGTTTTCTGGGTTTTGATCTTTTATTCTCCAGTCGGCATTTTTGTTGAACTGGGTTTCTTGAAAGTCCTCTGAAACATGCAGTCCAGTTTTGTTTTGCTCTTGCAATTGGGGATTTTGATTTGGGTTTTTCATTCGTTCTTTCTTTCTCATTGTGTGTATTTCCGTTGTGATGTATTTAGGTTTGTGTGAGGGCCAGTGGTTCAGAGGAGGAGGGGAAGGTGATAATCAGGAGAGAGAAAAGTGGTTGGAAGATTGATTTCTCCAAGGAAAAACCCCAGACTCCTTTGTTGGACACAATTAATTACCCCAATCATATGAAAAATCTGTCTGCTCAGGTATTCCTCTGAGTTTTTCTCGTTCAATTGCACTTGGGCTTATCAAGTTCTTCGTTTTTGGAGAGAGAGAAGTTGATTGGCAGTTGCAGTTATTAATGTAGATGAAATGAGTCTCTGTGGTTTCTCTGGTCTGTAACTGCAATTGTGTTTATCAAATTTAGGATGCTGGGTATTATTTCAAGAGAGAGAGAGAGAGAGAGAGAGAGTCGATTAACAGTTGCATACATTCATGGAGATGTAATCTATGGTTCTGTAAATATTTCAGGATTTGGAGCAATTAGCAGCTGAGTTGAGAGCAGAGATCGTATATACAGTAGCAAAGACAGGGGGCCATTTGAGTGCAAGCCTTGGAGTCGTGGAGCTATCTGTGGCACTCCACCATGTCTTCAGCACTCCTGACGATAGGATCATTTGGGATGTTGGCCATCAGGTAAAAAACAGAGAGAGAGAGAGAGAGAGAGGGGCGGGGGTTCAAAAGATTCCTTTTTCTTATGGATTTGGTCCTTCTTGAGAGAAAAAAAGAGAAAAAAGGGCAGGAGGGGAGAATAGTCAAAAGTTTGTTTTCTCTGTCTTTTAATTTTTGTTGGAGTTACAAACTATGTTACTGAGTCATTGTGTGGGAAGGGAATTTGAAAGGCTATTTCTTTCTCTCTCTTTCTTCTAATTTAGTGGAGATAGACAATTCAGAACTTTTTTCTTTTTGTTTCTTCTCTCTCTAGCTTGCTAGCTAGGTCTAGCCTCAACTAGGGACTGTTCACTGAGTAATGGAAGAAATGTTTGAAAAAATTTTCAGGCTTACCCACATAAGATTTTGACTGGAAGAAGGTCCAGAATGCACACCATTAGACAAACCTCAGGCCTTGCAGGTTTTCCTAAGAGAGATGAAAGCATCCATGATGCTTTTGGTGCTGGACATAGCTCTACGAGTATTTCTGCTGGTCTTGGTAAGCATCTCTCTCTCTTATCCAAGCCTTATCCAACTATTTAGAGCCCGCTATATGAATCTTGTTTCGCCATTCAGTCAGTTCAACTGGAAATATGCTAGCACGAACATATAATGTTGGATCAGAATCAATGACAGGGATACGCTAGCACGAACATATAATGTTGGATCAGAATTCATGACAGGGATGTGGCAAACATTTTACCCTGGCTGCCCACCAACTGGAACTTTCCTTTCTCATTTGAGAAAAGGACTGGCAGTGGGGGATCTAAACAGTTTTTTTTTTTTCTCTGCAGGGATGGCGGTTGCTAGGGACTTGTTGGGGAAGAGCAACCATGTTATATCAGTGATTGGAGATGGGGCCATGACTGCTGGCCAGGCTTATGAGGCCATGAATAACTCTGGTTATTTGGACTCGAACCTTATAATTATTTTGAATGATAATAAGCAGGTTTCTCTCCCCACTGCGACTCTTGATGGCCCAGCAACTCCCGTTGGTGCTCTTAGTAGTGCTCTCACTAGGCTTCAGGCCAGCACCAAATTCCGCATGCTTCGTGAAGCTGCAAAGGTTTGTAAAGTTCATGAGAGAGAGAGAGAGATATTTTCATCTGAATTCGAATTCGTGTCTGAAACTTGGATTCTTTCTATTTCAGAGCATCACAAAACAAATTGGTGGGCAAACCCACGAAGTTGCAGCTAAAGTTGACGAATATGCAAGGGGAATGATTAGTGCTTCTGGTTCATCACTGTTTGAGGAGCTCGGTTTGTATTATATTGGCCCTGTTGATGGCCATAACATCGAGGACTTAACCACCATTTTCAAGAAGGTGAAAGCCATGCCCGCTCCTGGGCCTGTTCTTATCCATATTGTCACAGAGAAAGGAAAGGGTTATCCTCCTGCTGAGGCAGCTCCTGATAAAATGCATGGTACCAAGAGACTCTCTCTCTCTCTCTCTCTCTCTCTCTCTCTCTCTCTACTACGTACGTACGTACGTAACGTAACGTAACGTACGTTACGTTACGTTTACGTTTACGTTTACGTTTACGTTTACGTTTACGTTTAACGTTACGTTACGTTACGTTACGT